TTTTGTCCAAGCAAACAACTTGGGACACCAATTATATAGATGCAAATAACTTTGGCATGTGACATTGTTGGCTCCCAAACGTGCCCCTTCTGCTACCATAGTCCTTTAGTTCTATTAACTGCATTTCTCTTCTTTATGTAATGTAATGAGCTTTATAATTGCTCTACCAACCGACATTTTGTACCCTTGCCCTAATATATAAAGATACATGTTCCGTTCAACATTTGAGTTGAATATCTCTACTAAAAATGGATATACATACTTAAGAAATTACTAATAACTAATTAGGCAGAGAAATTAATTGATGTTAATGCCTACATTGTCCAAAGACAACATGGTAGCTTGGTAGTGTGATGAATTCAAAGAAAGTATAATACTGTATATATAATAGTTAGTGTAATCTTTAGGCAACATTAGACAAATGTAAGACTACCCAAAAGTTGTAGAGCGGCACTGTTTAAAGAAAAGCTCCAACACGATGAATTTTGAACAATATAAGCTTGCCTGGCGGCTGGGGGTGATTGATTTTCTTTGATCCATTGGTAGCACCACAGCGATCCTCTCCTATTTCACTCCCCCATACAAATCTCCCATTGTCTCCTAGAAATGCTGTACTTTATTTCCAACACATTACGCCAAAGTCCCTTTTCCCCTTTTGCAATCCTCCCCCACCATTTAGCTAATAAAGCTATATTAAACAATCTCAAATCCATTAACTCATTCATATCAAGAAGTCATAACACTCATAATGCTTAAGAGTTACATTTCACCTTAGAACTCACACTCAATTCAACAGATTGAGAATTACATTTTAAATTTAATCTTGTAACTCCCTCTCAATTTAAAAAATGATAATAATATTACACACTACACCAACAAGAACAAACTTCACTAGTTCAAAATAATGGATTAAAATGGGTGCGTGCCTATTGTTTACTTTCAGCAACAGAGTGCCAGAGCTATTTATAAGCCAAAACTGAGATCAAAATCTCAACAATTTATTAAAGAAAAAGTTTACTTTTGAAGATGTTGTTTGTGGGAATGATAGACATATGATCATGTCTTGAATGGACATTTGGCTAATAGAGACATGACGTTCTTGGCTAAGATACATTGTTGGAATGATAGACATAATTGAATTGGCTAAGATTGTGATATGAAATTGAAAACAAGCTTCACCAATTCGAAATTAAGGGACTGAAATGGATATGTGCCTGTGGCTTAGTTTCAGTAACAAATGTCATGTTTAGTTGGTGGTAGTAATTATTCCTATTTTTTGTCAAACTATAAAAATGCGGTAAACTTAAAAGTTAAAAATAATTAAGGTTTAAATTTTCTACTAAACTAAAAGATGAAAGAAAATATGTATTCATTCTATTATTAAGAAATAGGTATTACCTGATTCTTCGTTAAAGTAAAAGAAAAATTAGAGATTAAAATTTAGCTACACCTAACTTCCTATGAGAAGGTTTTAAATTTTAACTTGTTTTCATAATTTGACCTAATTAAAAATAGTCCCTACCACCACTCGAGCAAGTCCAAAAGTGCCCTAACTATTTACAAGCCAAAAGAGAGATCAAAATATCGGTAGTTTAAAGCAAAGGTTAAAATTGAACATGCTGTTAGTGGGTCTGGGAATGATCGTTAAATAGTTAAAGGTACTGAAAGTTAAAAAGCCGTCCTTAACTAAAAAGCCTTAAGATCAAGATTACCACGTCTTGGCTTTAGTCATCTTGTACCATATATATTCGCATTGTGGGGATTCTCTTTCATTTATGAGGATTGCTAGCCCAACTCAAACTAAACGGTAGTTCATGCTGGTCATGACTCAGCTAGCCACAATCAAACTAACACTCCAAAGTTTCCATTCATTAATATAGCCACCGCTCACTAGTCACTCTTCTTTACCTATTTAAATTTGTTGATTTTTGGCAATACTCTTCCCTTCTGCCAAAATTTCACCTTCAAATTTTCGGTATGGCCTTCAATCGTACAACTCTTTTATTTTCAACCAGATTCTATATTTGTATTTTATACAGTCTTTTTTTCCGCAGTCAACACTCTCAAAAATGTTTATTTTCAGTTAACACTCTTTATAATTTAAAACTTGTAAAAAATCCAAAAACTAATGATCAAATCCTATATTTATGTTTTGATTTTGTTGGTAATTTAAAATTTTTTATGAATTTTAAATTATAAATAATGTTAATTAGAAATGAAAATTATAAAAGGTGTTCACCGCATAAAAAATAATATACAGTATTAGTGTGATAGGCTCGGTCTAGCATTCAATTCTTCTTGTTACGACCTGTATGATAGATTCAGTCTTTCCGATGTTCCTGCAAATTTGTGTTCAATAAATCTATGTTTTTCATTTAAAAAAATTTAAAAGTTCTTTTTGCTTTTTTTTTTTTTTTCTAATAAAAATATATATTACAGTCTAATATAATTATTAAATAAAATGACTCCTAAAATTGAGGCATCTTTACCATTTAATAACCCTTGTTTTATCTTTAAAACAATTTAAATTACAAACTATGGTTTTCTTTTCTGATGACCTAGGAAAATTTCTTTTTAAAAATTAGCTAGAACATGAATGTATTTGCCTTTTGTAATTTTTTTCTCCAGCTAACAAGATAGCCAGTTTACCCTATGAAGAACAATTCACCCAGAGTCAAAAAATGGTTCCTCTTTGAGCCGCAAAATTACAGTCGAAATTTCTTATTAAAGAAGAAGAAGAAGAAAAGACATGAAGCTAATTAGCGAGCTATAACCACTCATGGTTTTGAGGGAAAGGGTGCTGATGACAACAAACTGTCTCATGACAATACTAGATCTATGGAAATTGGGTTTGGGATTGGGTCTCCATTTGTGCAACAGCAAGCGTATATAAAGT